CGGAAAGTTGTGGATACATCCAGCTCCACATGCAAGTTTCTTCCCAGCGTTTAGTTCAACAGGCCGAGCTACTTCATTAGGTAACTTTTACTGTGATATTGCAACGGGTGAGACTGGCTGCAGAGGACATCTCCATCACGGAAGCGTGAAAAATCAAAGGCTTGCTTTTCTAAGTCAGTAACGGACCTCATTTCATTTTGGTGGCACTTTTTGTGGCATTAACTGACGGCCAGGTTGGGCGCCAGTTCCTCGAGCAACAGTGAATTACAAGAGCTCTAGGGCCCAGCTCACAGGCGTGGAGTTTAGAAGCTACTCCAAGCAGAGTAGCTTGTAGAAGTTGTATCATGGTAGTGTAATCCTCTTCAACACAGAATGGGAGGGCCTGCAGATGCATCTACTACCCCACCTCAATTAGTTCCATGCAAAGCTCGCATAGCATGGCCCGGAGGCTACCGCAGTGAAGAAGCTAAGAGAAAGGGTGTGGCATTAAGCCAGCACTACAAAGAACTATGAAGCAGTGCGCTGCCCCACTCGTCTTCCTGAGCGGCAAGAACAGGGAATTAGGTAACAAGTAGAGAGAACGCACCAAAACACTTACAAAGCAAAATACGGAGCATGAGTTGTGCGACGCGGGGGAACTGCTGGGGTCAAATCCACACCGGCACAAGCTGCGTCTTAACACTAGCGTTTTTTCTTTCCGGAAGTGCGTAATAAGAGACGGCAGCGAGAAATAAATGCTCGGGTGCAATGACGTCAGGTGCCCTGTTGAAAATTACGTAGAATTTTCCACTAATCGCCACCAAGCATACGCCTACAGAGCTGCTGCAGCACCTTCGTTATGTCTTTGTGTTGTGATGTGGCATCGACTATGAGGATAGAGGCATATTATCTCCTCTCAGGTGTTAAACATCTTTTGTACTACCTCAGTGAATTAATAAAGATCAGCGGAGTAAGCATCATTTGGGGGGTAATCGACTGGTTCGTTAAACAGTCGTAGTCGATCGTCCAACACCCAAGTTTGTATTCGCAAGGATATCTGCAGCATCTTGCCAAAGTTCTGTGGTATCCCTTCGTGGGAAGCAGAGTTGCTGATATTTGCCTTTGCCGTGTCGAATTGTTCCTGAAGGTGATTCCACGGGCTGGTAGCTCTCCGGAATGGTAATGAGAATGCGTTTGTAACTATTTTCTCATATTCTTCGATCTCCGCCGCTAGTCTAGAGTAATACCGGAATCGCAGCCCCAAAAGTGCTACCAGCCTCTTGTTCGTCGCCATTTCGACCCTAATGTCGGTTTTCTTGTCCAGTGCAGAGGATCCAAATACGTCTTTGTCCAGTTTGTACTTTTTTGGCTTCTTCGTGGATTCCAAAATTACGTGCGATCTCACAAGATACTCCTTTGTGACATATTCAAGGTCGCGCGCAGGTGTGGCGAAGTACTTTCTGACATAGCAGACGATGTCACCTTCAGGGCATTGAACAGCCTTTACTTGATCATCAATGCTGGACTTGGTCTTAGATCCCAGAATGTTCAGAAGAGCTTTGCCAACACCAACATCAAGCGCAACCTCTTCAGGTTTGCCCCCAATATCTGCATAAACAGTTTGGCAAAACTTGAAGAGTTCTTCTCCCTGTTCGAGACCAGTTCCAGCAATGCCCTCCATTTTCTTAGACGCAGTGGCGGCTTCTTCCTTGCTCAACGGCTGGCTCTGCAGAACTGCATGCAGCCTCTCTTTCAACACTGGCAACATATACTGGAGCTTTTGGTTGTATGAATTCGCTCGCTCGTACGCAGCTGTAACACCCTCAACGTCCTGCGGAGACCTCATGGCGTGTACTTCTTTAAATTGCTGAGAAAACAATACCGCCACGCCTTGTATTTCTTCGTTTGATATTCCAGAAGCCGGCTGCCACCCATATGATGGGCGAGTCTCCGACAATAGCGTGTTAATTCCGATAACTAAATTTGCATCAGCCTCGAGCGGTATGCGGTCAGCCTGGAGTTTGGACACCAACCAAGCCTTATGCATTTCTAGAATATCGGCATTAATTGCCCTGTCCAGTGCAGCCAGACGTTCCAAGATATTCTTCTTGAAGTTCAGGGCAGCAACGTGTCCGTAAATTTGGGTAAGACGACGTAAATTGCTCGTGTCTACCAATTCTGCAGACTTCAAGAACTGAACATGTTCCTGGTTCTCCGGCTGCAAAGTCCAAGCGGTATTTTCCACAGATTGCAGCGTCCCGAGAGCCAACTTGATAGAATTTGCTTCAATGCTGGTCGAGAGGTGACTCCGCAGTTCACTGGTGTGTGTAAAGTGGAGCTGTTCGGAGCAATACGCCTCCACTGCCTCACCATGGGTTTTTGCCAGTGTTGCCAAATGCTGTACGGCATTGCGTGCTCCTTGAAGGGATTGGCTCATTACGTTGACTGTCTGAGTCCGAATCTGCGTAGTGTTTGGGTCCCCACGGCCTTTCGCATCACCGTATTCCTTATAAGCCTTTTCAGCAGTA